CCTGGAATGTAACAGACCATCACTTCACCACACTCTACAAGGAGCTAAAATGAGTCAATCTCTTCCTTGTGTTTTCTCTTCTTCTTTTATTCCACTTTCATGTCGTATTGTTGTATGTGTAAATACAGTATATGTCATCCCAAAATGCAATATATTATCAAATGTTTCATCAAAAATAAAATATGTTTGAGGTAAGTTTCAAATGTTATTTCAGAGGGAATTGTGGTTTGTATTTTTTTTAGTGGAGGGATACCAACAATTTTGGTCTTGTCTCTGTGTCAGTGCTGTATTTACACCTAGTTGCACAAAAGAGTCCTTCTTTTTCTTTTGAAAAATCGCTTTCTAGCGAACACCTTGGCACAGATATAATGTAACAGAATAATGTACACTATAGATAATCCAATCGTCAGAAAAATATTTTTCTGAAGGGTAAGATAAGATAACCCTTTATTTGTATCACTTCAAAATATTGAAGCAGTCTTTTTTTATTTAGTTCATTCTGCAGGCAGTTATGTCACCACTGTACAAATAATATTAAAAATGGTACAAGAAACTTTAATTACAATGGGTGATGGTCTGTACAGTACAATATCGTGTGAGAAGAAAGAGAATATGCAGTATGGTGGAAACATCTTTGAAGTAAACACCAAGAGAGCATGTACACAAGTTTACTGCTTCTGTAAGCTGTAAAGTTGTGGAAAAGGTTGTGTGGTGAAATGATTAATTATGACTGTCAAAATATGCAGACAGGGATTGGGTGTGTACATGTCTGTTTTCCTAATGAATGTAGGAAAAATATTCACTCTCATTTCAGCTCTGTTTTTGGTCTCCACCAATTCCTCCGGGGAACTATCTGGCTCTTTAGCTGCTAAATGTTTCACTGTGTTCACCAGCTGCAGGTTGCTGTATTTCTCTGTGTTGTGTAATGTTGTTGTGGAGCCTGTACCGGACATTTGTTTTTTCCAAGTTTGAACTGATGCTGCAAAAAAAACAAGGTTGACGAGAGACGAGTGCGACCCTGAAAAAAAAAAAAAAAGGAAAAAAATCAAGTTAAATGACAATTTCGTGTGGATTGGACACTGCTGCCAAGTCCTTTCACATCCACACGTCACTCGATCCGTTGTCAATAAAATAATATTAGCGAGAACAGCTTCGAGTTACATCCACATTTGGCTTCGACACTCGGTGGTGGTTGCCACTTGGATGAACCTGCCTCTTTCACTCCAAGTTATTTCTTAAAGTGATTTTCTCCTCTCAGTCTGGTGCCAAGCTCCAGAAATCCCCCACAGTGACTGTCTGCATCCCTGCACATACACTGCCATACCAACCGAGTTCTCCAGCTGCTTATCAAGTTTATATGGAGACGCACATAAAGCACATTGAGTTTAACCCTTTACCTCTGAGAATAACCACATGTGAGCAATCAGTGGAGTCTGCTGTAAAGTATGTATCCTCAGGTGGTTTCTTTTTGATTGCGTGACTCTGTGTGTGTGTATGTGTGTGTGTGTGTGCGACTTGGCCTCATTGCGTTCACACATTCTTTTCATCTGATTTTCATTAACAACTAATTAAGGCCAAGTCAACATTTATCTGGTTAAACAGTGCAAACGCAGATGCTGTCCCACAGCGACGTGCTGACCGTGTTCACTGACCAGAGCACACTATGTGGATGTGTGCGTTTGCAAGTGACACAGCCTGCATTTGTTCCTGTGTATTGAACCACAGCAGTGTATTGCTGTGTTTCTGTGTTTTTTTTAACCAACCCCATTCAGCCTTTTATTTGTCCCGCCGACACAGCGGCCCTGCATGTAGCAGCCTTTCCTGCCCCGTGTCCTCCTGCGTGGATGTCTTCATGCGGTTCAGGGACAATGCCGTCCAGCCTGGAAATCCTGTTGCGCAGAGTTGCTTGAGCAGCCGAACAACCAGGACACGAATGGGCGGTGATGTCCTCATGTCAGAACAGACGACCGCCTCCCGTCTCCGGAGGGGCCCCTTACATGATCGCCGCCGGCATGATTGTGCTCCTTTTGTCACTTGACAGCAGTTTGCTACCCCACTTCTTTTTTTCTCTCTTTTCAGGAATATCTCGATTCAAACGGGGGAGCACATTTAACCGGAACAAAAATACATGTCTGTTTTAGAATTGGATTATTTTGGATTTTTTGGGGAGAATTCGTAAATCATGAATTAAAGATGAAGCTTGGGTTTCTGCAATTGCAGTGTAGAGCTTGCGCTGAATAACAAAAAGCCAGATCACTTCAAATTTCTACAGACGCCATTCACGTCACATTCCACAACATTTTACAAAAGGGCAACTTATTTTTTGTCCTGTGTTCATATTGTCAAGCACCACACACCCTTTGAATTCTTCCTGCAGTATAAATACGACAATCTATACCATGAATCGCAAACTTCCCACCAGTTGTCCCTGCTGTTGTCATGGCAACCGTGACCTGGAACACCAATCTGCTCCGAAGACGGAGAGGAACAGCCGACAAACAATTCACCATCAGGCGACTAATTAAGGACAAAAATGGAAAAAACGGAGCCAAAATGAACGTGAATCTGTCATACACGCACATAACCTTTTCTCCATCTCATCATCCTCGCACATAGCTCAAAAGCACAACCAGAGAGTCATTTCCAACACGTGGCGTCATCACAGGACGTGTGTGGGAGAATATATCACGGATAATTGAGCCGGTGTGATGCTGGGCAGAGTCATCGTCAGGGGAGAGATAGGCGAAGGGCTCTGGAGGAGAACAATCAGGGAGGCTTAACAAGCTCTCACTGCCTTCTCACATCGTGTAATTTAACCAAGTTGGTGGAGCAGGCAGTTGGTGTGAGCCTTCCAGAAAAACACTAAAGCCTGGCGCATCTTTTTTACAGGACAACACTTTTCAATTGGAGCTGTGAATTCTGGGGTGTCCTCAATTTCTGCTTTTTAATTCCACAAATGTCTATCTGTATGTGGAACGCATAACTAGTTCATCTTATTGGTTTCACTCTTGGCATATGTGTTGTAAATTGCCCTACACACACATTATACATATATATTTATGTGTGTGCCTCCTCCGTCATGCTCCGCCCAGCCCTCCACCCAGCATCATATAGGTTGTTTGAGCTCATGCAGGAATCGAAGCTCGCTGGCTTGCAACTCAGCCGAAGCGATGTCTTCCAGCGTTTGATACTTGCCGTACGCCTCGATGCAAGTAAAGCAGAAGACCTTCATGTATTGATTGACTTTGGCCTTCTCTGATTGGCTCGGAGGGCAAAGCTCGTTAAGAATCTCATGGATGGAATATCCGAGCTCTGCTGTGAGGCTGATGAAAGAGTCTCGACAACAGACTATTTGTCTTATTCAAGTATTTTTCAAGTAGAAAATACTGTATTCAGCTGTAATCTGAGCATCAACCAATATGACCATATTATACTGAAGGAGGTTCTTCAACCTACGAAAAAAGCAGAAAATTACAGATCCATAATATAAACCATAATTCTAAATGCCTGATTTGACATTTTCCTTATTTTTCTATTGGCTCTCGTGACGTTTGCTTTGCTGATGACTGCATCTTCAAGAACTTAAATATATATGACTTTTAACTAGATAAACTGTGAATATTCCATCCAGCTTCCATTCGATGTGCTCCAGCTGCTTTACATCTATGGGCAACACAGACGAGCGTATCAACACTTCTATCAACTCAGAGCTTGTATGGATTTTGGCAGCTGCAGTCAGGGGGATGCTGTTCAGAGAAGAGAGTATAGCTGGATTTGAAAAAGTGAGGCATCAAACCCCCCTGAGGGAAAACAAGGCATTGTCCATGCCAATATATTCTTATTTTTTTCTTTTGTCAGTTTATAATTTCAGTGATAGGACACAAGTTTAAAGGACGGCTGGGTAATAAAACAAGGTCAAGAATTATTGCAATTTAATTTTCATTAATAGTTATATAAGGAAAGTCCAATGTATATCAACATTATGCTCATGCATTGTGAAAGCAGAGTGACAGATATGTAAAATATGTGTTGCTGTCTAGCACCTGCTTGTCATTTTCTGCCCAGGATGCTGAGAAAAATAATACCATTACCATGTGCAATAAAGTTTAGCATAGTAATCTCTTGAATATTATGTGCAATATTACATCCATATTATTTATTCCTGTTATCTTCATCATAACAACTTTCTATTGCCACTTTAGTTTAGTGTTCTTTTTCTGTCTCAAGCCTATTTTAATATATTGTTATTTCCATAAGGCACTGGTTCTGCATTTACTCCACTTATTTTGTCATTTTCACTGATACACTTTATATTTTTTAACTTATTTTTTAAACTTCATACACTATTCTTTGATTCTATTGCACTCCATTGAATATTCTGTGTCACTGTAATCTTATCTCATCTGATGTTGCTAATCTATGATTTATTAAGATATTAATCAATATCGACTGATGTGAACATTTATCTCCATATCATTTTTGACCTTATTGTCCAAACGCTACTATCACGCTGCATATTTTTCCCGACACAAACTCCAACATAGCCGCTCAGGAATCTGCCTCAGCTCTACCATTTGCATCCTTTGGACTTTGTTGAAGCAGATGCAGAGATCCTTCATCCTCACATCACCTGCTGCGCCGCTTTCACCGCTGCATTTTTAATAATCGGGAGGTCAAAACAGTCTGATCCTTTGTGCTTTCTACATCCAGGATTAATTAACAGGCTTGAACTGAGAGTAGAAAAAGCCTGAGAGAAAACCCACAGAGCAAATTAAATCATGTTGACGTGACAACTATAAATGTGTGTTCAAATAGGAATATTTTATTTATTCACCATCGTCAATGGAAAACGCCTGAGTTGAATATATTTGAATGCATAATGGTTGAGAGGTGTTTTTGTGGGAGAAGAGATGTAGTTCTTCAGCCACACCACAAGGGGAAGCACCCACCAGGTGAGGACAGGTGGTAGTGTGGCTGCATGACAGAACAACCTGCTGATTAAACAAGCAGCACCTGTCTCTGCTTTTAAAGGGGTCAGTGTGTGTTCCCTCATCACAATGGATCCATTATGAGCCTTTTTAGAACATGGTAAATGATCTTATTTTACCTGCACACAATTAAGTCTACTAACGGACAACCTAACTGTAGGTGGATGGAGGCCACACTGTCGGAAACTGCACCGTGGACTGTCACTGTGTGTGTTAGATAATGTTTTGAAAGTTGTAAAGTTGTGTAAATACTTAGTCACCATTGACATCATTGCATTTTTGTTAATAGGCTGTAATTAGACTTTTGTCCTGTTAATTGGCCAAAGAAGGTTAACAGAGGCCTGTGTGTAGTTTTATGTGATTAAAGTGGAGAAAAATGGAGAAGCATGTGGTGTTGAAGCTGCCAGTCACCTGTGTTTTGGAGGCTGTTAGGTGACAATAGTTAGTGTTGAGTCACGATCACACTGTGGTGTCGGTGTATCAGAAAAATGTGTTTCCTCAGAGAAAACTCAGCGTACTGCAAATTAAGAAAACAACTTCAACACATGCACTGCAAAAAGTCACAACACATGAACGTGGCTGTAGTTTAATTCATTGAACTACAGCCAGGTTCATCACTTCTTTGGCCCCTTGGAAAGACTTCAGTTGTTGTTTTTGCAATTTGCACAATGTGGTGTTCCTTTTTGCAGCGCATGTGTCGTCAAAGTGATTGAGTTGTTTGCTTAATTTGCATTTGCCTGTGTAATTTGCAGTCTCTCTGCCGCCATAGTGTCTGACTGGCAAGCTTCACGTGGGAACAGTTGCAACAACTTTGATTCTTGGTAAAGGAGGAGTTGCCGAGTTGCTCACATCATCACTTACAACCAAATTCATTGATTTTACAATAATATCTAGATAGTGGCGTCTAATGTGAAATTGTCAAATGTTGCACACTGTATGTTCACCTCTCACAAGTGCCTAACAATGCAGTTTTTAATATTTTTATTAACAACATGTAGATGCTATTATTTTTTATGTCTGTCACAATCTTTTCTCAGCTCTTTGTTTTAATGCAGATATTGGAAACAGTTGTCAAGGTTCTGTTTTATTTACAGACTGGTTTCCTCCTCAGTCCAACTTCAATGGAAATGAAGTCACTTAAGTCGGAACAACGACTTCTCAACTCGAGAAATGGGATCTTCTGAGGTGCAGAACTGTGAGATGGATGACACGTCTCAACTTCCTCCCACTATTGAAAGATGAAGCCAAAATATCCCAGGTACCGACACTGCCATCGTGCACATCTGGAGACACAGTCTGTGCAGTAGCGATCAGCGGAATGGAGCAGCAGAATCAAGATCCCGTCGATAAGTCGTGAGTCTGTCTCATTTGTGTGTTTATAATGTTTCACCCTGTTATTATAGCATCAGTTAACTAATTCAAACCAAACTTAGTGGAACGTTGAACACTTGAATATACGTCAGTGTGATAAGAGCTACCTAAACTGACAGAAACCATCTTTGAGAAAACTGGATTTGATGTGTGCTTTGACTTATTAGTTTGGTCCATTTCCCATTCACTGTCATGGAGGTTTGCTTATGACCTATACTGCAGCAAGCCACCACTTGCTAATAGAGATGCTTTGACTTCCCTTTTTGGGAGCTGCCATCTCATTCATCTTTATATATTGTCTGTGGTCAAGATACACATTGACAGATCAAGTATTTCCTTCCAACTAAATATCAGTTTTGTAAAATTATATTCAGTTTTATACCGGTGGGTTCACTTATGTTGTTCGATATGTGCTGGGAAATGTATCTGTGTTAAAGCAGGTAATAAGAACAGAGTCTCGGTTTGGGTGATGTTTGGAGGAAAGAAAAACAGTTTGTTTAATCCTGTTAAGATAAGATAAACTTTATTGATCCCTCTCCAGAGAAATTCAGTGTGTTCAATAAGGACAGAAAACAACCAGCGTCTCTTGTCTCTGCTTCTCCTCCAATAAACACGTTTGTGGCCTGTAACATTTCCACAGTGACAGAATGTGAGGACTTTGTCGTTCTGACCGTCCATTCACGACAGACTGTGAAAAAAATGGATGTGCACTGCGGGTATGCTCTCAAATCACCAGCAGATGGCGAATCCATTGGTTTTTATTCAGTGCTGTAGGTCTTAAGGGTAAAGTAGTTCACTATTTATTTAGCTACATTCCTATTTGGCAATAACATGGCTGGACAATATAACAACGAGAAATATTTGCACTGTTTTTTAGGATTTGTCTATAGCGTCATGTATTGGGCTCTGCTCAGGAAACAAAATGGTGTCTATAATCTGACCGAAACACGATCCAATTTAATTCTTCGATGTCCAGCATAAGCTTACACAACATGAAGCGTCGACAGAGGGAACAATTCAAAATACAAATACCGTGGCTGGTCATTTGAAATGAGTGACAGATGGTGCTTGACAAAGAAAGGATGACAATATTATCAAGAGAACAAAAAAAAAAAGTGGGACTAATTGTTTCGACAGACAAATCAATAAATCCATCTCTGAGCACATGAGAAGAACAGTAACCACAAAGCATCAATAATGAAAGTTTGAGAAAGTCTCTTGTGTTACTTCATCTCCTCCTCTGGGAGGGGTTGGTTGTTCCTTGCAACATGGATGCTTCTTAGGTCCGGGTTCTGCTTCTTAGTGCATGGCTCGGGGCTGATATCCACTGGCAGTAACTGATCTTCCACATGCAGAGCTGCAGCACGTGAGGCCTCAACAGTTGAGTCCAGGGCAGTCGGTGGAATCGGGGTCAAAGCGATGAGTGAGAAGACGAGAAATGTTTTTAAGCATGGATAATATCTCTGAGCTTTGGGGACGGATCAATCCCCCGATTTGCTTACAAGGATTTGTTTCCACTGGATGCTTTATACACTTACATGCCTTGGGATGTGATTTTAAAGAGAGTCCTTGACATTTAGATTTTTACTTGGCTACAGGCTTTACACTTCCCCTATTGTGAGAAAAAGCATACACTGGCCCTTTAGTGTCTCTGCAATTTCATTTTTGGACCAGGAATTTTATTTCCAACAGCCAGTAGAGTATCCACGGAGAACGGTCCAATTTGTGGTCTACAACAAGCTGAGCGGAAGCTGGAAATGTTCATGGTCCTCGTCTATCAACAGTCAGTCAAATTGATTCTCTTCCATGTTTCCCTTGTGATGTGATTTTCATGGATGAGAGTTTTGTATGGCGGGGGCCAAAAAATAAATGACAGGTTGATTACAGCCATTCAGAGCATCTCCATTTCCCACAGCTTTTATTTAAAGGCTGCAAGGTTTAATTGTGAGGGGAAAAAAAAAAAAGGTAGAGAACAACTGCATTCATCAGTGAGGTCAGTGGTGAGCACGGCTGCAATTTTAGGTTTTTATATTAATTTTCACTGAATACAAGTCACTGTATTTAAAGCTAGCTAGTAGCCTTGGTTAAAGCTCAAGCAACTACAACACAAACTGTACAAGAAAAGTTGGATTTGACAGTTTTGAATTTATATTTCTTGAAGATACCTTCTGATAATAAACATGGATTTAAGGGCTTGTCAAAGAAAGATCATACTACTGTGTATTTCATTAGCGGAACTTCATCGCTCTGCTAAGTCATAAAATCACAGCCCGATTATGTGTCTGAAAAGGATATTTGAAAACCTGACAAGTTGGAAAATAACCTTTGAGTTTGTTTGGTCACCTTGTGCTGCGCCTTGATTGACTGTGGTTTTCACAGCTTCATTTGGAAACTGCAGGTTAAACGCTGATTTGGCTCCACTGAGGAACCTCTGTCATGTTCCTCAGGCTAAATAGGGCTCTCACAGACTCCTTGACTTTCAAGACCACTAGTTGACACTGTGCATTGTTGTTCCCCAGTGTGGTTTTAGTTTACTGTGGATTTAGCACGGTGCAGTAATGCAGCAGTGGCAGTGCATCGACAGTAGATCTGCTGCAGGGGGTGCTGTAGTTGATAAGTTATAGACCTGGTTGTTGTACGTGACTTTAAGTTCAGAGAATAAATGTGCTTTTAACTACGCATATGCATAATGGCTGCCTCGTGTATCCTGCGTCTGTTTTTTGTGTTGGTTGTGCACATACAGTAGGTCCTCAGAAGGTACTGCAAAGTTTCCTTGGGATGCAATACTCACACAATATGGAATAACGTGCTCTTTTTTATGGTGTTTGATTATGGTGGGTACGCTTAAACAAGCCATTTGCCATGACAATGACCATTTAGGTCAAATGTCGTTTATGTTAATAATGTGAATCGTGTTGTTGGGATAGATATTGTTCTTTCACCTGTGGACATCTGTGTTTATCTGGGAGATTACAGCTGTTCTCTGTTTCATACAGTGTTTTCCTTATTGATGACGGCAAACCACAATATTAATATTAATATGACTTTGACTATTTTACTATGATCTCCTATTTTCATGCATTACTCAATCTCTCTCTCTCAAACACATTAATGGTCAGAACAAACATCTCATGTGATTAATTGACAAGTCGACTACTAAAAGCAGTAATTGTCAATGACCTAAAGCGGAAGCCAAGAGATACAGTAGTTAGCTTATCTTAAAGACTGGAAACAGGGATAATGACTAGATTGCTGATAAAATAGATTAATAAAAATGTCTACCATCTCAAGATAACTAATCAACACATGAAATTGGTACAAAACCAAAGTGTAAAAATACCTGAAGTGATGTCTTCACTGTGAGATTGTCAAAGAACCAGGGGAGATTCCAGATAGTTATCGCCTTCTGCCAAGAAACAGCAGGGCAACATAACCCCTCACCCTTAAACTCTAACTGCTATCTGTGTTCACTCACTAATAACCTGCTGGCTCCAGGTTCATATTTAACATACTTTCATGAGAGGAGTATCAGACTTCTCATCTTTGTTTTGTCTTAGAACCGAATAAACATATTTCCAAGAAAATCAAAACTGTTCCTTTAAAGAAGTCGGCCTGAGTCCTCAACCAATTTCAACGAATTAAGGGTGCAGTTTCCCAGTTCATGTTAAATCTCAGAAGTATCTGTTTCCGTGTCTCCCTCCTGGACCTGCGCTTACTTTTAGAAAGTGAAACGGTGTCAGCTGAACCTATCGTGAATCTAAAGCAACCTCAGAATTGATCTGCGCTGCTGGAAATCACCCAGAATAGCAGAGGGAGCCTTCAGTGTGACTGCTGCTGTCGCTTTTTTTGTCAGCCAGTAATAATAAAGTATTGGATTGAGGCGAGGGCTGGAAGAGTGACTTTCTCCTTTTCAGGATTCAAAAGGAAAGGTCCTGCACCCTCACTACCTGAGGAGCTCCCCTTCAAAGAAACTCAATTTTCACTTTAAAAGGTAGACTGATCTGCCAACCTCTTGCATTGCCCTTCTCTCTTTGGCTGCTTTTCTCCTCTGCTCTCCTCCTGTGTCCACTCAGTTGTTCCCCGAGCCTGGACGAAGGACGATTACACAAATCTGTCACCCAGGAAATGCAGACACTTTATTTCTTCTCAGACAAAGAGCCAGTGATGGGTGATGAGTTTGTAGCTGCTGGGGGATTTGACAGACTCGGGGGGAATAATAAAGCAATTTCAGCCTGCCAGAAAAGTCGGAGGAAGTCGAGGGAAAAACACACACGAGGAAGATATAAATCACTCGTGTGATGGCAACACTTTTCTGGTGGAGAAATGAGACAGTTAAATTGTACAGAAAGATGAGTGGCTTGACCAGAACATAGCTGCTGTGCAAGAAATTACACAGCGGCCAAATAAAGATGTATTGTAAAGTGTGAGCACTCAGAAATACAGGTTTTATGTGAGGAGGATTTAACAACCTCTCCCAGAATAATTGTAATGTTCACCGACACACATGAAGAGACACACATTTATTCACTATGTATATATCAAAAAGATGCAGACATGTATTCACTTAATAAAACCTAATTCAATATACACAATAAAATCAAAAATATTCCTCCACATGTTTTACATTACTTCATATTTTATTGGTATAGGAAGTTATTTAAAATATGTATATGTAGTTGTACTGATTTAACAACCAGTACTAGACCTCTAGGGTCACGTGAGAGAAAAATAAGTAAATTGCGCCCTGGGATGATTAATCTGTACCCATTGTTAAACTGTGCCCCCGTCATGTGTGACTGCACGGTGAGGCCAGCCGCCCCTTGCATTTTTGTTGCGTGTCTATTTGTGCTGTTACGGCAAAATGCTACGGATAGTTGAAGCAGCAAAAATGACAAACACAATTATATTTAAGTTAAAGTCTCTCGTTTGATATATATTTCTCTTCATGATGTCTCTGACAATGCTCATATCAAATTTCATGT